CCCCCCCCCCCCAGGATCCTACTCTGTTTTTAACTGGTAATAAATTAATCTTCTCCAAGTGGGGACCAGGATTGAATGTTAATTTGACATTGGCATAGATGGTACACCTACTAATGTTTATTTGATTTGGGGTCTTCAGCTGTCTTCACCCTGTGCCCTTATTTCACTTCCCATAGTGATTCAGGATGAAAACACAAATCCTTGAGCACCAAGAGGAGGCTCACACACAGCCAAGGGGAACAGCAAACTCACTAGCTTTTTCCTGAGTCTCTAGGGGTCTGACTTCCACAGCACCCTTTGTCACATCCCAGTGGTGGATGTCCAAAAAGCTCTTTCCCTTCAGCTGCTCATCTATGTGAGTGCTCTCAGAAGAAAATCTTAGGCTTGYCTCACAATTCTATTAGGCACATATGCAAACCCTGAGATGAAAGCCAGCCCAAAAGAGCCAGTAAAAGGGAGCCTGGGGTTTTCAGCATCTGCTGGCAGTCTGGACTTGAATCTGTGACATTTTCCTGCTGTACATCTCCACAACTCCCTGAATCACCCAAACAGGAAGCTGGAAGGCTCCTCAGGCTCTTGGGATGCTCCCACTGACAACTGCCGCCCGGCATGTCTGCACTGTGGCTGGCTGGTGCTTGCTCACCAGTGCTCATCAAGAGTAATCTGGGAAAGGAAGAGGAGCCCGCGAATCTCCTTCATTGGGGAATTTTTACTTATTGAGCTGAAAATAAACAAGTCTGGAAGTTGAATGGGTCTTTGTGGTGGTGATTCTCCTCACAGCTGAACCTAGGGTGGGTGGCTGGATCGTTATTTGCTGCTCATGCAGTAACAGCTCTGCTTCAGGCCTCTTTTGTGTACAGTGTATACAACACCTGGAATATTAGATAAAGCTCCAAACCTAAAGTGTGACACCAAACAGCATCAAACGAGGAAAAAGGGAAAACCAATATATGGTACCATGTACAATGAATTAATGCTCTTGTAATGGTTTTGACAGCAGAATACCAAATGCTGTAAAATGCTTCATATATAATTAATAAATACAAAGCCATGGATAAACAAATTTCAGAATCTGTTTCTCAGCAGAGCTRAAGAAATGTGTATGAGAAACGGGAATCAGAACTGATCAGAAGATTGTTCTTGGATTAAATCGTTACAGGAGTAAGCCTAATTGATACAAAGTGGTATTATTCTGGGGGATTTGTAGTGAGGAAAGTGCATTAAAGAACGCAGAGAACTCCTCTCTCATCAAGATGTGGATGCAGTTAATTTTAATTCATTTGCACAAGAGAGATGTGCAATAGCATATGTGTACATGTGGTGTGCATCTCCCCCACTTCTCCTGGGACCTCACTAAGATCTGAGAAATGCTCATTAGACCTCTATCTTCACAAACAGCACCTGGGCTGAATTCCTCTTGAGTTTATCAAAAACAGTCTCTTTCCAGATCTAGTACTGTCTAATGAGCTCCTGTTTTTTAACGAACAGCCTTGGACACTTACTTTTCCTGCCTGAAAAACAACCCAAGCAGAACAACGTTTTTGTTATCAAACGTTCAAAGAAAATTACTGACCCAAATTGCAGCCAGCACGAAAAGTTATTATGACTGAATCCCACTCTCTTGTGACTCTTTACAGAGTATTCAAAACTGAGACTCCTTGAGCTGTCTTGGATAGCATATGCTGTGACCAGCACCTCCCTCTGAGTGGGGTCTCTCAGAGCCAGAGAACTCTCAAGTTTGCTAAACTTGGAGGATCACTGAAAGACAATGATGAAGCCTGGGCTCATACCCCCACTCCTCCAGGCTCAACGCTTTGCCCATTGAGAAGATGCAAAGGCATCAAATGTGTGTCCTTGTCTTGGTTTGAAAGACAGGTGTTTGCCAATGAAGGCAGGGACCCCCCCCCCCCCCCCCCCCCCTTGGAGTGGTGGATATGACCACCCCCCTTCCCTCCGAATTATTATAGTTTTGAAAATCAAGAATATGGGTAAAAGGAAATAGCAGTTTTTACTGATATGTATAACAAGGTAAAACAAGTAACAACGATAGCAATAGCCAATCCAGTCCCAAACTCAGCCTCACTCAGACACCCTCCCCTTTGGTGCAGTTACAGTCCCAGTCAGCAGGGGCGCTGTTGGCTCCCGGCCGGGCAGGGCAGATGCGATGATTCCCCGGCAGCTGCAGGGGGCGCTGTGGCGCGGGTCCCGGCTGGCTCAGATCTCCCGTGTCGCCAATGGTGGGCACAAAAATGGCAGAGATGGATGGAGAAAACTCACAGTGGAAACGCTGCAAAACTCACAGTGGAAACGCTGATCTCGGTGTTCCTCTGGACAGCAAGAAACCCAGGACGGCAAAGAGACGAGCAGAATCCCGTGGCTGCGAGATGGGATGGAGCAGAGCTCAACCCCTGAAGCTGGAATCTCAGGAGGTCCCTGGCAAGGCACAGGGGAGRAGATCACAGTGCAGC